GATTTACCAGATATGACAACTGTTACAAGTGGTTTTCCAACATACTAATGCGCCTAACTATCACAACTGAAGTGCATGGTGTAACATGCTATGAACTCGTAACAGTTGCCTTGTTATGGATATCGCGAGGAGATGAAATCGTGATGTAATCCCGGCCCTTAAATGAGAAATACAGCGTATATCTTGGGATATTTTGTCAAGCATTGCTATGTATTTCAGGCTGCCATAAGGGTGACACCAGTCGTGACGGTGAAACCAAGCGCAACATCTCCAGTTGGACCTCCTCCCAACCATCCTCCGCCACCTTTACCTCAGCCTGATTCTGCTCGATATGTAAGTTCATGACATTCGATTGTTCAAGAGTAAAACTTCCTCTTCAGAAGCGTAATGAGCTGCGTACTCCACCACCACTGCCGCCTAGAAATTCGCCATATCGGCCACCGTTAGAAGCTAGCCTTAGCCTGCGACCAACTGTGCCAAAAGAAGTAGACAGGTAACATTTGAGATCATATTAGAAGTGATTATAATGTGAATAGTTGGAGCACAGCATGCATCAAAGAAATCTCAATACAGAAACATAGAGTTGATTTAACTGGTCCTTTCTTTCGAAATTAAGCTCAGTTTCCTACACAATTCACACTAAGAATATGCGGCGTTTCTGTGCTTTTGCTTAACAACTGGTTCGGTTAGAGAACTTTTTTCTGCTTTCGCACGTGCTAGTCTTGTCATCTCTGTCGCTGCGGTACTTGCTTTCCTTGAATTTTTCGGATATAGTGCGGAAGTTCTTATTTTTTGCTCAATTTGTTATAGGACATCTTCTGATACGCCAGTGTCGACAGTCCGTGACATCATATCACGGAACGGCAGACAAGGACATAAAAAGACAAATTCTTTGGATAGAGGTCTAACCCTAGCAAAATCAATGAAGGTGAGCAAAACTTCGGTTAAAGAGCAGAGTCTGTTTCTTACAAGCACCAAGCAGCAAATAATAACTTGCACGGAGCCAAGAAAAATGTTGCAGGCTGGTCCGTTTCCTCCACCTGCGAACAAATCTAACTCACTGACACGTCAAGAACCGGATGATGACGAAGAAGAGTGTGCTAGAAATACAGCAGCTGAAGGTGTAATTCTTCAGATTACAACTAAAGTCATCGGCGACCATTCAATTACGGTGCGTCAGTTCATGTATATCTTGCCCATTGATAGACTTTTTTGAGAGTGTTGAATGTGATGTAGGGAAAAAATAAGCAACTTTTGAATTTTTAATAGTAATTTTTTTTGCAAACCTAGCACTTGATCTTATGTACGATGCGTTGAGCACACAAGCGGGGTAATCAGTCTTTTTGTCAAACTTTTTCTATGACGAGTTCTTAGTTTTTGCGGTTGTTTTTTGTTCTTGCTTTGGCAGACCTTCCATGTAATTCTATCGCTCAATCAAATTTTCGCAAAAATACGTACAATCTCATTGCCTCCCTCATTCTTAATCAAATGAGAAATGTTTTGAGTTATCTGAATGAAAAGCTCTTGCATATGTTTAGTGCGCAAATGGGGAGCTGGAACCGATCGCGTCCGAATCTTCGTCTTTGTCTTCTCCTAATTCGGAAGTAGCGACAAAGATTCTTGAAAGCAAACAAGAGGCAACTATGCACTGTGAAGATAAACAAGAGGCAACTATGCATTGTGAAGATAATGTCGGGAATGGTCAAGTTAACGCTGGAGATGTTGAACCAGAAAAATCTTCTGATATCTACATTCCAAGCACGAGCGCTTTGCAGGTGAGCAC